TCTTTTTAATATCCTTTTTTAATTTCTTTTCAGTTTCTTTTTTTTCTTTTTAATTTGTTTTTCTGTTTTATTTCCTTTTAATTTCTTTTTTATTTTGGCCGCTTTTTGCAATTTTTGTTTTTGTCTTCTTTTATTTATTTCTTCTTCTTACTACTGCGTTTCTGTCCCCGTCTTGCATTTCTTTATTTCTTTTTTCTTTCTTTTTTGCCTCTCTTATTTATTTTTAATTTTTAATTCCCTCTTTGCTTCCTGCTGCTGCTGCTGCTGCTGCTGCTGCTTGTTTCCTGTGTTTCTGCCGCTGTTTTCCTCCCCTGCTTCTGCTGCTTGCTGCTGCTTCTGCTGCTGCTCCTGCGTCTTGCTGCTGCCCCTGCTGCTGCTTGCTGCTGCTGCTGCTGCTGCAGCTGTGGTTGTGGGGATGACGCGGACAGCAGCAGACGTGTGGGTGACGGCGTTGGCCATAATGGGCCACAAGGGCGCGGAGGCGGTGGCGCTGGGCTCGGCCTTCTTGAAGGCTCGTCCGGTGGGTTTTTGGATTAAATTGCATCAAAATAAACCATTTTAATCAATTAATTAATTTATTTATTTGTTCATTTATTTCTTTATTGTTTGTTTCGTTTGTTTGGCCTTTTTCGGCGCACTTGCGGCTTCTTTCCGCACTTTTCCGCGACTTCTGAGACCCAGGGCCCCCTAAACCCTAAACCCTAAACCCTAAACCCTAGGCTCCGACGAGGATGCAGTTGTGTGGCGGCGGCTGTTGTTTGACGTTGAGGAGCAGCAGCAGCTGCTGCTGCTGCGGATTGCTGCTGCTGCCGCGGGCGGGAGCTGCTGCTGCTGCTGAGGATTGCTGCTGCTGCTGCCGGGCGTTCCCGCTGCTGCTGAGAGCTGCTGCTGCCGCCGCTCGGCAGCCGAGAATAGCAGCAGCAGCAGAAGCAGCAGCAAAGTGTGCTGCTGCTGCGTTGTTTTGCTGCTGCAGCCCCGCTGGCTGCTGCTGACGAGCCTCAGCGCTTTTGTTGCTGCGACTCCTTTGGGAGTTCTCGTGGGCGCGTTTATAGCGGAGGGGGGTGAGTTTGTTTTTTTTATTTTTATTTTTATTTCTTTTTTATTTCTTTTTATTTCTTTTTTGTTTTTTTATCTCGTTTTTGGACTCTTTTTGTCTCCTTTTGGGTCTCTTCTTTTTTTGCCTCCTTTTTGTCTTCTTTTCCGCTTTTTTTCATTTCCTTTTTTGCCTCTTTTTTGTCCTTTTTTGGATCTCTTTTTGTCTTTTTTGATTTCTTTCTTGGCTGTTTTTGTCTTTCTTTAATTCCTTTTTTAAAACTCTTTGTTTCTTTTTACCCTTCTTTTATCTCTTTTTGTCTTCTTTTCAGTCTCCGTTTTTATCTCTTTTTGTTTATTTTATTTCCTTTTTAATCTCCTTTTCGCCTTCTTTTTAATTTCCTTTTCGTCTCTTTTTATCTCTTTTAATCTCCTTTTTTATTTTCTTTTCATTTCCCTTTTAATCTCCTTTTTATTTGTTTTTTATTTTCTTTATTTTTTCAATTTCCCGCTTGTTTCCCTCCTTTGTAATTTCTTTTCTTCTAATTTTCTTTTATTTTTCTTATCTTTTTTGTTTTTTGTTTTTTGTCTTTTTAAATCGTTTTTTGTTTCTTTTAAATACTCTATTGGCTTTTATTTCTTTTTTCTTTATTTCATTTTTCCTTTTTTGTCTCTTTTTACATCTTTTTGTCTATTCCTTTTCGTCTGCTCTTTTCCACCTGAAACCCCAAACCCTAAACCCTAAACCCTAAATCTTACTCGAGCTTACTGAGTCTCCTTGGGCTGCGCGTTAATCTGTGTCTATTCTGCTGCTGCTGTTGCTGCTGCTCCTGCTGCTGCTGCTGCTGCAGGCTCCGCCGTCTCGGGGGTTTTGAATGCTCTCGCAGTCGGCGTGATTTTATATGCATGCATAGAGGTAACCCTAAACCCTAAACCCTTTTCTAAACCCTAAACCCTTTTCTAAACCCTAAACCCTTCTTTAGAAAGGGTGTTGAGTCTTTTTCTCGTTTGGCTGGCTGACGGCTGGGTGCCCGTAAAGCATTGATAGCAGCAGCAGCAAAGCACGTCTGCTGCTGCTGCTGCTTCTTTTAATTGCTTATTTGCTGCTGTTGCTGCTGCCGCTTCGTTTCGCTGGCTTCCCGCTGTTGCTGGTCTTTGCTGCTGCCGCCACTGCTGCAACTTGTTTCTTCGCTGCCGCTGCTGCAGTTCGTTTGTTTGCTGCTGCTGCTGCTGCTGCCAGATGCTGGCGGAGTTTGAGGCCAAGGCCCGGCTGCGGCGGCGGCTGCTGCGCTGCTTTGCTTTTCTTTGCGGCTTGGGGCTGCTGTTTGGTTTGGATTTGCTGCATGCGCCGGTGTGTCAGCACCAGCACCGCAGCAGCAGCAGCAGAAGCAGCAGCAGCGGCTGCAGCGGCTGCCACGAGCTGCTCCACGCCAAGGCCTTTTCGCCCGCTGCTGCTGCTGCTGCTGCTGCGGGGGGTGCAGCAGCAGCAGCGCACCACCACCACCACCACCACCACCACCACCGCAGCCACGAGGCCGGCCTCCAGCAGCTGCTGCCCAGGCGGCAGCTGCAGCAGCTGCAGCAGCAGCAGCAGCAAGGCCCAGGCTTTCTTACAGGTGCTGCCAGCAGCAGCAGCAGCAGCGTGAGCACCTTGCGGGGATTGCCTTCTCCCTAGTGGCTTTCAACAGCAGGCAGCGCTACGCGTTTGCCTCCGTCTATTCCGCAGCAGCAGCAACAGCAGCAGCAGCAGCAGCAGCAGCAGACAGCAGCGAACGCAACTCATCAAAAAGCGGGGATCGGACGATCCCAGCTTCGTTTCGTGGGAGATCTTTTGTGGGGTTCTCGCTCATTAGTAAATTCATATTCTAGTTAGCTGCTGCATCCGCTATTTCTTTAGTGCTGCTGCTGCTGCTGCTGCTGCGGCTGCTGCTGCAGCAACGGCGGCCGTGGCGGCTGCTTTGTTATGGGCCTCCACACAATGATCAATCTCGAGGCCTGGCAGCAGCAGCTGCAGGCTGCAGCAGCAGCAGCAACGGCAGCAGCAGCAAAAGCAGCAGCAGCTGCAGGCTGCAGCAGCGGCAGCAACGGCAGCAGCAGCAC